CCCTGACAGGGAACACAACAGAGAGTCCCTGATGGAGCAGGAGAAAAGTGGGGTGCAGAACTCGAATTCACATAAAAAGACCAGACTGAATGATCTGGCTGAGACTGGAGGAACTCTCGAAGAGATGGCCTCCAGAAGCTCTGTTAACCCAGAACTAAAACCATTCCAGAAGCCAATTCTTCAGACAAAGATTAGACTGGACTATAAAACATAAAATAATACTTGTGAAGCATGTACTTCTTAGTTTAAGCAGATACAAGAGACTAAATGGGCAGCTCCTGTCCAAAGGCAGGATGAGAAGGCAGGAAGGGACAGGAGCTGGTTGGATGGACATAGGAGATCTGGGGTGGAAAGGGGGAGTGTGCTGTCACATTATAGGGATTGCAATTAGTGTCATATAACAATACGTGTATACATTTTTGTATGAGAAATTAACTTGAGCTGTAAACTTTCACCTAAAGCACAATAATTTTAAAAAAAAGTCAGCCAATGAAAAACCCTGTGGATCACAACGGCCCAATTCCCAACTGATCATGGGAATGGGGCAGGACTAGGCAAGGTTTCATTCTGTTGTGCATGGGGTCACCATGAGTCGGGGGCCAACTCAATGGCACTTAACAACTGCCTTTCTCTGAATACACTTGCATAATCCCATGCCTTTGCTCACATCTTTGTCTTCTATCTGGGATAGAGTTCTCCTTGGTCTCCATCATGATCCTCTCCCTCCATTAAACCCAGCTCAAATGTCTCCAGTAATTAACCTGCCCCAATTCCAGAGTTAAACGTAACTGTTCCTTCCCCTGAACCCACATAACACTGTGTTCAGATTTATATTTCACAGTCTGGACATTCAGTCTTGTGATAATAGCTAGTGATAGCCCATTGTATTAAGTACTTATTATGTGCCAGTAACTGTTCTAAAGCCATTCTCTCATTCCAGCCTCACAATAACCCAATGAGCTGGTAATATTATCATTCCCATTTTACAGATGAAGGAACTGAGTCTTGGGGAAGTTAGTAACACACCTGTGGCCACACAGCTATAAATGGCAGAGACGGACCAAAACCCTGATCCATGGGATACCCAACCCATGCTCTTAACCCCTCTCTTGCCTGTCAGTTGCCTACTTGTCCACTATCTCTCTCCCAACTAGCTGAAGCTCCGTGAAAGCTCCTCTCTAGCACCTGCACATGACTAGCACTCAACAAATCATTTTTGAATTGAAAACTCCAGATTCACTAACCCAAGAGGCAGCGGCTGGTGGAAGAACGGAAGCCACCTTTGTCCTTATCCTAGCCTTCTCCCAGCAATTCAGCCTCTCGATGTTTCTCTTAACTTGGATGGGTTATTTCATGGCTGTTTATTATGCAGCTGACATTGCCTCTCTCCTCTCTCCGCATATTTCTCCTTTAGATCAATAAACTACCTAACTGCCCAAAAGTGGACACTTCAGAGAAGACTATCACTGACTGGGCTGCAGTAGGGCCCGCTCACACTGGGCATTCTTCAAACTATAGAGGCCTTGTCTGGGCATTGACCCAGCACAGTGGGGAAGCTTGGAAATGAGGCTGCAGAGCAGCAGCTGCTTAGAGATGTCCCTGATCTCACATGGGCCGCCATTTTGTTTGTGGTAGGATTACTGTTCTTACCCAACACTAGTGTTAAAAATTGCCCTAAGAACATAAATGGCCAACAGCGCATCCTGAGAACTCAAGCTTGAACCTGAGATCTTCATCTGGGCAAACTTGTCTTCCAACCCTTGGGACAAGAGCATAAGTCAACCTTTCACTCAGCAGGTTGAAGTCAGGCAGAAATATCTAGCGGGGTGAAATGTCAAATTTTGTGATTTCAGAAAGCATCTAAGTATCCAGTGTATTATTGAGAGGGCAAAAACATATATCCATACATATTCAGCCCATCTCCTCTCCTTTCCCCCAAAGCCAGGTGAAAAGTAACATCTCTGTGAGAACCAGGACCATAAGAGCCACATCTGCGCAGTGGGCCTGAAGCCCTGGGAACTGAGGAAGAAGTCACCCCCAAAAGTCACAAGTGACCTTGCAATGCATCTGATTTCTGGACAACCCAACATGCTTGCAGGCCCCTGAGAGACCTCTTGGTAGAAAGAAATGAAGCTTTTAGGAAGAGGCTGATTTTCCTACCTTCCCAGCTACACGCCCAATAGAGATATCATCAGGATCTTTGGGGACTCAGAAGTCTATTTAACTATCTATAAGATCTTAGAGGATCAAGCTATGTCCTCCAATGTACCACTGTGTGTGTGAGCATGAGCCTGGCCTTCAACAGACATGTGACAATTCTTCACTGATGATTGAGGATGGAGAAGCTACATTTTGACATGCATTTATTTATTCAATAAGAGTCTGAAAACTACGAATAATAGGAGTCCTTCAATTCCATATTAATCAGGTTCCTCTGCCTTGTCTTCTGGATTGTATAGCATCTGCTGACAGACACAGTCAGCACATTCAGTCATTACAGTATTTACGTGGACAGTGAGACCAGGTGAAGACATGGTTTGGGGAGAAGGGGCAATGGGGCTGAGAAGGAAGGGAATTTAAGAATTTCAAAGGAAAGGGGAAAACTAGGCAAAGGTTAACTGATACCCAGCTTTGGTCACTAAGTGAAATCCTCTATGCCCCCAACCCCAAACCCCTGGGATCCTTCAATTCCAATAGAATGCTTCTTCCTCCATGAAGCCTGTCCAGATGTGATGGTAACACCCCAGGCTCCTACGGTCCATTGTTGATGCCTCTGTTTAGTGACTACTTATTCTGCCTTGGGCATCAATCCTCTGTTCTGAGACCACAGCTCATTCCTCCGTTTCTCCCACATCACCTTCCCAAACAGTGCAGAGCCACTGCCCAGCACAAAACAGAGACTCAAAAACACTGTCTGCTGAAATGAAATGTGGCTGTCAACTCTGAAATTAGAGCGTAAAACCCTGACTCCCGATCCAGATTTCACCAATGTTGCAGGATAGTCCCATAGTTTGCAGAGAGGGGGTAGTAAGACAGGCATGGTGGCAGCGGGGAGGCAGGATGAAGGTGGAAACTGTTGTGCATTCTTGATAGGATGACAGCAGAAGGCATAGAGATGGCTGGAGTGGATGGTGATTTTGACCATTTCAAAGAATCGCTCTCTCCTTACCCTTCCTTTTCAACCACTGCCAGGAAAATAGGTGCCATGACTTGATTTCCCCATGGTGGCCAAGGGCATGGAGTGGGTCCATTGAACAGTCCCCCCTTTTGAGACTTTGTTAGGTGACAGACATCGGACAGAGCACTTCACATGAATCATCTCTAGTCTTACAATCACACTGTGTGGAGGGGAGTTGTTATGGATTGAGTTGTGTCCCCCAAAAATGTGTGCCAACTTGGCTATGCCATGATTCCCAGTATTGTGTGATTGTCCACCATTTTGTGATCTGATGTGATTATCCTATGTGCTGTAAATCCTAACCTCTATGATGTTAATGAGGCAGGATTAGAGGCAGTTATGCTAATAAGAAAGGACTCAGTCTACAGGATTAGGTTGTATTCTCAGTCAATCTCTTTTGAGATATAAAAGAGAGAATCGAGCAGAGAGGAGAGGGACCTCCTACCACCAAGAATGAAGAACCAGGAGGGGAGCATGTCTTTTGGACCTGGGGTCCCCGCACTGAGCAGCTCCTAGACCAGGGGAAGATTGATGACAAGGACCTTCTCCCAGAGCCAACAGAGAGAGAAAGCCTTCACCTGGAGCTGGCACCTTCAATTTGGATTTCTAGCCTCCTAGACTGCGAGAGAATAAATTTCTGTTTGTTAGAGCCATCCACTTGTGGTATTCCTGTTATAGCAGCATTAGATAACTAAGACAGGAGTCTTGTCCCTGAGATTCAGAGGTCAAGTCACTTGCTAAGGGCTACACAATGGTAGGTAATGGGGTAGGCAACAAGTACCTGGGCCAAGGTTAAAAGGCTGAGAGATGTGGGATGGGAACTAGGGTTGATGGTTCTCTACACTGTACCCTTGAGCTTTGGGTGGCATCAATAGTAGCACCCAGGAGCCCCTTACTTCCATCTGCCTTCATGGATCCACTGCCCCCAACTTCCCACCCACCAGCCCTGATGGAACAATGGCAATTCCTAAGTGTAAGCCGCCCTGCCCCTTTCAGTAATGATGGTGTCACATCTAGCATTGATTTGTTCTGTTGTGGGCTGGACCAGGAGGCCTGTGCCTCAATGCCTACTGTGTATTCTGTGCCTACTATGCAACCCCGTAAAACAAGTCGTACTGTGGTGGTTTGTGTGCTCCTGTGATGCTGGAAGCTATACCACCAATATTTCAAATACCAGCGGGGTCACCCAGAGTGGACAGGCTTCCATGGAGCTTCTAGACTAAGACAAACTAGGAAGAAAGGCCTGTAGATCTACTTCTGAAAATTAGCCAGTGAAAATCCTACGGATCACGACAGAATATTGTCCAATACAGCGCTTGAACATGAGCCCCCTGGCTTAGAAGACACTCAAAATACAAGTGGCTGCAACAATTGACTTGAGCATACCAACGATCATGAAGATGGCGCACAACGCAGCAACAAGTCGTTCAGTCGTACATGGGGTCACCATGAATCCGAGTCGACTCAACGCAACTAATAACAACAGCACCACTTTACAGATGAGTAAATTGAGGCTTGCAGAGGCTAATCTGCCCAAGGCTACACAGCCACAAAGTGGCAGAGCCAGAACTCAAATCCAGTTTGTCTGGTTCCAAACAAATGGGGAGCACCTGCATATGCTCTTCCCTCTATACCTCACTAAAAACCTGTTGCCTTCGAGTCGACTCGGATTCACAGTGACCCTATAGGACAGAGTAGAACTGCCCCGTAGGGTTTCCAAGGAGTGGCTGGTGGATTCGAACTGCTGATCTTTTGGTTAGCAACCAAGCTCTTAACCACTGCACCACCAGCACTCCTCACTAAAGGGATTTTAAAAATGGGGGGGAAGGGTAGAAGCTTTCTGAAATATGGGATCCAGGAACTTCAGATCCAGAGCAATGACCTCTCAATACACTCCTTCTGACCCAAGCAAGGGCCCTCCACCAGCCACGACACTCAATAGCAAGTCTACCTCCTTACCGTGGGCCGTTTCCAGACGATGCCTTGAGTTTGCGGGGAATGTGGTCCAAGGTCCCTATACCCCAAGGCTGATGGACACGCTGGGAACTCTGGGTCCTTAAACAGGACCTCTGAGTCCAAGCACTGTTGCCTCAAGGTCTCGAAGTCCTGGCCCAAGTACTTCACAGCTTTCTGACTGGAGCCGAGACCTTGTGCCACTGCCCGCTTCTCGGATACACCGGCCGCCAGGGCTGCCATGGCTGTGGGCTCCGTGGCGTGGACCAGCGGGCAAGGCTGCTCCGCACAGTCAGAAACCCGCCCCACTGGGAGGGGAGCCATAAGGCGGCTGGAGGGAGGTGGAGCAGGTCAGCCTCTCACCTGAGGTCCTGCTCCAGGGCATGAGTCATGGCCTGGAACAAATATGTACCCAAGGTGTAGATGGATCGGCCCCACCTCCCTGCTTCTGCCTTTCAGCAGACCATTAAAGAAGCTGAGAGCTTTGCAAGCCTCATCCCAAGCCATTAGCCTAAGAAACCCATTTGTGTCACGCCCACCCCCACCTCTTTGAGGGCCTGCTTGGCTCCCATTGTGCCCATGGACTAAGATGAAAAGGTGTCTCATCATGCAGAGTGCGGAAAGTTGTCACCAAGAAACTGGAGAATTCTGAGCATGAGGACAGCAAGTGGTTAGAGGAGTCTTCTTTCTTTCCAAAGAAGCTTGGTTCCCTATTTGCTAACACAACCAGCTGCTGTCACATCAATTCCAACTCATGGCAACCCCATGTGTGTCAGAGTAGAACTGTGCTCCATAGGGTTTTCAATGGCTAATTTTTTTGGAAGTAGGTCGCCAGGCCTTTCCTCCAAGGAGTATCTGGGTGAACTCAAACCTCCAACCTTTTTCAGCAGCCGAGTGCGTTAACTGTTTTCACCACCCAGGGACTAGGACAAAACTATCCCAGAAGGTGATTGACAGATGGATTCAGCCTAAGTCTAACTGGAGGTTGTTGAACCTACGAATGAAGGTTTTGGCATCTGACTGCATGGGTTTCCATCCCAGCTCCGCCATTAAGTAGCTCCCTCACCTTGGGCAAGTTGTTTACCTCTCTGCCCTTTAATTTTTCTCATCTGTAAAGTGGAAGATAATATAGGGCCTACTTCATAGGATTGTTTGGAAGAGTGATGAGATAGTACATGTAATTAGCTTAGGATAGTAAATAAGAAACACTCAGGCGTCCACCCTGTCCCAGCCCTCGGGCCCAGCCGTGCCTTTGTTGCCTGAGTGACCTGGGGCTACGAGCTGGGAGCTGGGAGCTGGGGCATGCAGGTCTGACCATCTCATCCTGTGGGCCTCTAGGCCAGGCCAGGCAGCGCAGCAGGGGCCAGCGGGCCCAGACCTTGCTCCAGGGCTGGGGCCGAGGATCAGCAGGACAGGGCCTCTCACAGAATGTGCTGCTGGACATGAATGTGCTCGCTTGGAGGGCATCATGTTTGAAGAATCCATTTGGGGAGCAGTGGCTGTCCCATTTTCCTCAGCAGCAGTCCTCAGCGGTAGAGAAGAAGCAATCTGGCATTGAAGAGAGAAGAGAGAATATCTGGGAAGGCCTGGGAGGCAGACATGACCTGAACCACAGTGAACCCTAAAGGGATCGCTACTCCATCTTGAAATTTTCTAGCAGAACATGGCTCCAGAGATTAAATGAAGCTGCAAAAATACATACACGCAGCACTGCAGCCTCTTCAGATATCCGGGGACAATATCCCAGAGAGAAATTGATCCCCCTGGATTACGTGACCAGTCATAAAGAAGAAAATTAGTCTTAAAACCTTCCAGAAATCTTTCCACTTGAATAAAGAAAAGAAGAAACTTAAGTAAAGTTCTTTCTTTCTTAAGTAAAGTAAAGGTGTCACAACCTTCACTTGCCAATGATGTTAGGGAAGATGATTCCTTAATTGGTAGCTGTCATGGATTGAATTACGTTCCCTGAAAACATCTGTCAACTTGGCTAGGCCATGATTGCCAGCATTGGGTGACTGTCCACCATTTTGTCATCTGATGTGATTTTCCCATGTGTTGTTAAATCCTACCTCTATGATATTAATGAGGTGGAATTAGAGGCAGTTATGTTAATGAGGCAGGATTCAAACCACAAGATTAGGTTGTGTTTTAAGTCAATCTCTTTTGAGATATAAAAGAGAGGTGAGCAGAGAGACGGGGCCTCATACCACCAAGAAGGTAGTGCCAGGAGTAGAATGTATCCTTTGGACCTGGGGTCTCTTGGGCTGAGAAGCTCCTAGACCAGGGGAAGATTGTTATCAAGGACCTTCCCCCAGAGTCAACAGAGAGACAGTCTTCCCCGGGAACTGGCACCCTGAATTCGGTCTTCTAGTCTCCTAGAATGTGAGAGAATAAATGTTTGTTAAAGCCATCCACTGTGGTATTTCTGTTACAGCAGCGCTAGATGACTAGACAGTAGCTGCTACGGTGAAGATATGGCTAGCTGTGATACCAACAGTAAAGGGGAAAAAAGTGGGAAAAACAGATCAAAACGTGAAAGCCTCACGGGTACGCTTAAAAAGGCAGTTTTCTGCGAGACAGAAACAGAGAGGCAAGGGCGGCGCGGCCTCCGGGAGCTCGGCCGAGGAGGGCGCCTTCTCCTCAGCCCTGGTGGTCGTCAAAGATGTGAGAGCCCAAAGGCCCACACAGTCGACCTCGCTGCAATCACCACGAGAGCTGACCCCGTGGCCTCTGCAGCACAGAACTCCGAGAAGACGTGCATCAAGATGGAGGTGAGAGGCAAAGCCTGGTCCACTCCTCCAGGCCCAGTCCAGCCCTGGCCGGGGTCCGGAAGGATTTTCATGACCTGCAGCCTGAAAGTGTGCCAAGAACAGACCAGCTCCCTGAGGCACGCGCATACTCTCAGAGCGGGGACCTGTACCTCCGCCTTGACGACCATGTGCCTGTCGTCACTGGACTCAGGCCTTAGGACTACAGCCAGTACACTGCGCCTTAAGTGAAGGGATGTATCCCCTGGAGGGGTCTCGGAGCTACACTGGACAGCTCCCCCCCCCCACGGAAGCCTCTGCAGTCCCTCCTCCAGGGGGTGGAGCTCTTTCCGGAAGACAAGGGTCGGGCAGGCCAGGACCTGGGCGCGCCCAGCATGTCGTTGCGGAGCTCCAGGCCAGTAGCTCGTTGTTTGGCACCAAGGGAGTCCTGTTGCCGAGCCCCAGAGCGCGCCACAAGGATGTCCTCCACTCCCACGTTGCTACCTCCAATGCAGAATCATAAATCCAGAGGAACTTCAGTGGACCCCCTGGCCCAGATGCCCATGTGCCTGAAAGTGTGCGCTTTCACTGGATTTTGATCCCAACTCTGCTCCTGGGGTGGCGACAGTCTATGACTCAGTGCAGAGTAGTGGGCCTGCGGGTGACAAGCCTGACCGAGGAGCTGAAACAAGGATGGTACTGGGGACCGCTCACTCGCTGGGAGGCAGAAGGGAAGCTAGCGAAAGGGCCAGGTGGCTCTTTTCTCCTCATGGGGGACATTTCTGATGACCGTTACCTTTTAAGCTTGAGGTTCCGCTCCGATGGCCAACACTTACTTCACACTAGGATTGAGCACTCGACTGGTAGGTTTAGCTTCTACGAGGAGCCAGATGTGGAAGGACACAGGTCGATAGTCGATCTCATCGAACGTTCAGTCAGGGACTCTGAAATCAAAGCTTTCGTTATTCGCCGTCTCGGGTGCCCGCTCTGCGCAGGTGCGCTCCCAGCAGTTCCTGGGCCGTGATAGGGCTGCACACCGAGATAGACTTGATCCAGAAACTGCCTGTGCCAAACGAAACGAAGGACTATCTACAGGAGAAGCACTGCGGAAAGATTGAGAACCCTGGAAATTGCACTTTGGGAGCAAGAGCTTGAAATGCCCTTTACAAACTTTCACTGCTATCAAAATCCTTTGCTGCTATCAATATTTCAGTTTTCTGTGTAGAAAAGTCCTCAACTTGTCTAGGGGTAGGAGCTGTCGGCAGGGTGTCTTGGGTTTATTTTGGTTCCTTCAAAAGGGAAGTTTGGAAGTTTTGGAAGTGTGAATTATCTTTCCTCAATGTGCAGAAAAATCACAATGTGAATGATCAGATTCTCCTTAATCCCCCCTCCACGTCCTTTGCTGCTAGCCACTGTGATATTTATGCACTAAAAGCACATTTCATGTGTATTCAGCCCTAAGTAAAATTGAACGAAAACTTCTAGAATGGAAAAAAGAAAGAGAGAAACACTTAGTAAATATCAGGTATCATTATCCCTACAAACTAGGACCAGAAAGAGAGGGCCTGGCAATCAGGAATCTTGGGTTCTAATCTAAGAAATGAATGACAGCCTGTGTGACCTTGAATTGATTACTGCTCTCTGAGCTCCAATTTCCTCTGCCTACACTACGCAGAGTCCCTTGGTGGTGAAAATGGTTAGGTGTTCTACTACTAACCAAAAGGTTGGTGATTCGAACCCACCCGGAGGTGCCTCAGAAGAAAAGGCCTGTGATCTGCTTCCAGAAAGGCCACAAAGCCCTTAAAACCCTGTGGAGCAGAGTTCTACTCTGCACACATGGAGTCACCATGAGTCAGAGCCAACTCAATGGCAATTGAAAAAAAATAAAATAAAATCTGCCCTAAGAATGTGAGAATGTGGGCCAGATCAGTGATTTTCAAACTAGTGTGTGTGGTAGGCTGACAAATGACCTCCCAAAGTTACCAGCTCCTAAGCCCTAGAATTTGTAAATGTTACCTTATTTGGACAAAAGGTCTTTGCAGGTGTGATTAAGTTAAGGATCTTGTGATGGGGAGATGATCCTGGATGGTCTGGGTGGTCCCTAACTGCAATCACAAGGGTCCTGTGATGGAGGCAGACACACACACAGAAGAGGAAGAAGCAAAGTGACGATGGGCAGAAATTGGAGCGGTGTGGCCACAAGCCAAGGAAGGCCGGCAGCCACCAGAAGCAGGAAGAGGCAAGGAATTGATTCTCCCCTAAAGTTTCCAGAGGAAGAGAGGTCATGTCAACACCTTGACTTGCCCAGTGAAAGCAGTTTCAGACTTCTGGCCTCCAGAACTGGGAGACAATAAACTTCTGCCATTTTAAGCCACCAAGTTTGTTGTAACTTGTCGCAGCAGCCACAGAGCACTAATACAGTATGCCCTGGGGCACTTGCTTACAATGCTGACTCCCTGACAGGCCCTACCACTGTCCCCATCTAAAAAAAAAAAC